TAATTACTGAATTCCTTTCTACTTCATTAAAGGACGCCCGGGAAGATCCATTTAACAGCGAGTTCCTCTACCGTATTTTAAAATCTCTAACTCACAAGCCTTCGATTTAATATAACTGGGAGACGAGATGGGGTAAATAACTGGCAGTTTTTAAGTGCTGTTATATCCCAGTCACTCTATGCAGGGGATGTTACATTGTTTTTGTTTTTTTCCATTCATTCAATCAACAAAAATTCAATCAACAAAACCCTTCTACAAATCAAACACTGTTTCAGGTGCTGGGGATACAAAGTTAATACAGTAAAGGTGGACAATTCCAGCTGCAGAGCTCCCAGGCCAGGGGAAGACACACAAACTGTAAAAAAGGACATTATACCGCAGGTTAGAGAAAAGTCTAAGGAGAAACAGTAGGAAATGTGGAAAGACTATGAAGTGATTGGTGGAGAGTTCCAGTGGTGGAGACAAAAGTGATACAGAAGGAAACTATGTAGCACACAAGGGAAACATAAGCCAAGAAGGGAAACATAAGAAACACAGGGAGCTGGGCTGACTTGGCCGGAGTGTGAGATGCTGTGACACACAGCAGCTAGGGAGGGCCCTGCTGAGAAAGAGGCCCTGGAGCAAAGACCTGGAGGCTGGGGAGAAAGTGCCCACGGAGAAGTTGCAGGGGAGAGCGTGCCAGGCACGGCCCAGGGCCCTGCGATGGGCCTGTACTTGGCAGGTCTAAGGAACAGGAAGGAGACCAATAGGTTGGGGGGACAGGTGAGTTGGGGGGAGTGGAGCAGATGAGGTCAGAGATGGAGAAGGGCTGAGAGGGTCAGCCAGGCCACAAGCACTTGGGCTATTACTCTGACATTTTGTTTCAACAGAGAAACTGGCCACTATTGGGAATGAACTGTAGGGACAAGGGCAGACGCAGGGGGAGCAGTCAGCGGGAGATGGTGGCGTGTACAAAACCATGCTGTGAGCGTGCTGAGAACTGGACTCCTGGATCCGGTTGGAGGGAGAGCACACAGGATTTGCTCCCGGCCCACCTGTGGGGTGTGAGCCAGCTAGTCCAGAAGGACCCCAGGTTTTTGATCGGAGCAGCTGAAAAGGAGGAGCCAGTGACTGAGCTGAGGCACACAGGGGCTGGCCCGCCATGCCTAGTGCCTGACTTTGTACAGCTGGGAGGAAACAATGTTTGCACAAGCTTTATAAAACAAAACAAAACCAAAAACAAGTATATGTAGCAGAAACACTATGTGGCACTTGAGACTTAAAATATTTACTCTCTCCTTACAGAGCTTGGCGACCCCTGGACCAGAGGAGACAGGGGTTTGGGGGGCAAGTAACTCAGTGCTGCACCTACCAAGTCTGAGATGCCTTCTAGACATGCAGGTGCAGACACTGAGGGGCAGGGGCAGGGGCCGGGCTGGAGCTGGGAGACACTGAGGGGCAGGGGCCAGGCTGGAGCTGGGAGACACTGAGGGGCAGGGGCCGGGCTGGAGCTGGGAGACACTGAGGGTCAGGGGCCAGGCTGAAGCTGGGAGACACTGAGGGACAGGGGCCGGGCTGGAGCTGGGAGACACTGAGGGGCAGGGGCAGGGGCCAGGCTGGAGCTGGGAGACACTGAGGGGCAGGGGCCAGGCTGGAGCTGGGAGACACTGAGGGGCAGGGGCCAGGCTGGAGCTGGGAGACACTAAGGGGCAGGGGCAGGGGCCGGGCTGGAGCTGGGAAACACTGAAGGGCAGGGGCAGGGGCCGGGCTGGAGCTGGGAGACACTGAGGGGCAGGGGCAGGGGCCGGGCTGGAGCTGGGAGACACTGAGGGGCAGGGGCCGGGCAGGGGCAGGGGCCAGGATAGAGCTGGGAGACACTGAGGGGCAGGTGCAGACACTGAGGGGCAGGGGCAGGGGCAGGGGCCGGGCTGGAGCTGGGAGACATTGAGGGGCAGGTGCAGGGGCCAGGCTGAAGCTGGGAGACACTGAGGGGCAGCTGCAGGGGCTGGGATGGAGCTGGGGGAGAGCACCGAGCTAAAACAGAGATCTGGAACCCTTCCACATAAGCGGTTAATGCCATATACTGGAGAGATCACACAGGGTGTGAGCGTACAAAGATGAGTCCACAGACTGAACCCTGTCCTTCTGAGCTACAGACATCAGAGCCCAGAAGGATCCAGAAAAGGAGCAGTCGGAGAGCAGGAGGAAGTCAGGCGAGGGGAGTCATCTTCTGTCATTCGATCCTCAAACCCATTAGGCCAGGGAGCATAGTTCTCTCCATTTCACTGATGAGAAAACTGAGGCTCAGAGAAACAGTAATATGACCACAGTCACCCTACTAGGCAGTGGCAGGCAAGCAAAATTCCAACTCGGGCCTCCCTAGCTCTACCTACTATGGAAACATCTATTGAATTATTACTGATCCCATAAATACACAAAACCAATCATTGCCGGCAGGCTTTGAAGCAATGTTCACTCCTAAAGAAAGAGCTAATGCAGCCCGGACAGTGTGGCTCAGTGATTAAGCGTTGACCCATGCACCAAGAAAGAGCCAATGCTGTGGTTACAGGTTACCAGACCCCTAGTGCAAGTTCATGTCCCCGATGATGTCGAAGCAATTCTGGGTGCAATCATGTGGCTCACAACGCCCCCACCCTCCCCCCCGGGGAGGGACTGTCCTCCCTTAGTGGAAGGGAAATTATTTGCCTTAACTTGACCAAACGGTTCCAGTTTATCCAGAGGAGTAACAATTAAATGAGGAAAAACTAAGGAGATGCCCATAAAAAGCAAAAGAAAAAGGAGTAATATATGTGTGCATAATAAAAGCTTAGTTATTAAAACAGCATCTTACAGAACAATGTACTAGAATCGAGATAACTGAAACAGACTGAAATCTTGGAGTAGACCCAACAGCTTGAGAAATTCTGGCATTTCAAAATAAACTGGGAAGGCCTGATGTCTCTATAAACATGCTAAGTCCCTTGATAACTGCTTAGAAACAGACTAAGATCCCTACCACACACCAGAATAACTTTCAAGAATACTGAATTTCATAAAGGTTATAAAACTTTAAGGAAATACAAAAGACTGTCCCCCTAAGATGGGGAAGGTGTTTTTGAACATAGAGAAACTGTGGAGGGAAAAAAAAAAAAAACACAAAGGAAAAGATAAATTTAAATATGCCAAGTTATTTAACTTCTGAATATAAAAAGATACACAAAACCAATCATTGTTTAAAAGCAAATGATAAGTTGGAGGGAAGTATCTGCAAAATGTGATAAGACATGGAGATCCAAAGAGTTTTTAGAAATCAACAAGATGAAATATGTCCACTGCATAAAATGGGTAGGAAATATAACTAAATGTTTTTCAAAGTTGTTTAAATTAAAAAGGAAAAGAATAACCTACAGCTTGATTGAAGCTACACCTCAGATCAGCAGCAGAGTCAGAACGACGGGTCTTCGCCCCAGGACTCCACTTGCCCAGCTGATCTTGAGAAAACATGAGCCTACGGTCGGCGTCGACAGGGAACATGAATGAGTCCGAGCAGCCGGGGAGAGAGTGATGGTCTCACAGCCAGACCAGGCAGAGCCACACGGGCCTCTCTGTTCCCCCGCCCCTGCCTCCCAGACTCAGAGTGAGGCTGAAAGAGACCCGAGAAGTGTTAAGGCGTGTGTCCCTCTTCTGCGGCATAACAAAACATATATATATAGACACACACACATATATATGTGTGTGTATATATGTGTGTGTGTGTGTGTGTATATTCATGAATGTAGACTTCATCAATAATCACATGACTTATTGCTTTCATTACTCGGGATATAGCTGCTTTGAGATCACTGTGTTTTTTACTGTTTTGATTGTGATTTCTTCACAGCACCGCGTACGCCTGCACAGCTCTGGCTCCGGCCTTCACTCCGCCCGAGGCAAGCCCGGGTGCTGACTCTGACAAATCTCAGCGAAGCACGCAGTCTGCCCACTGAGCACCTGCAGCCCGGGGTCTGACTGAGCACGCGTGATGGGAAGGAGTCCCCAGGTCGGACTAAGGGCGACGTCACCCTCTAAGTTCTGAAATCACAGGTCTGTGCTGAAGTCGCTTTGATTTGTATAATGAACTGCAGTTCTTGCATATAAATAACTGTGCTAAACAACAACATACTTATAAACGCAGTTTATTCGTCTCGTTACACAGAGTATTCATAAGTCCCTCACACAAGTGAAAGAAAAAATTTAAAATGTTAGCAGTCGCTTATGGTTTAGTTGCTGTCTTCCTACAACAGTTCTGCCTTCCTCCCTCCATCTAGCCCCTCTCAGCATGGCCTTCCTGGCCACTGTGCCCACCGCCCACTGGCCCTCCCGCCCACCATGACTCACCACCTCCCCAAAGCTTCCCCACTCCCTTCCATCGAAGCACCCACCTTTACCAAGGGAGCATGCTCCTCTTCCTCCCCCTGGACCATGCAACCTCCTTGAAGGCAGCGGCCGTTCCTTATCGACCCTGTGCCCCGGAACCTGCCTTCAGGGCTGGCACTCAGTAAGAACTCAGTCCATGGTTCCTCATGAGTGAACGACACTAGAAACCCACTTCACACTGTGCTAAGGTCAGTCTACCCCTGCTGTTTGTATCTCAGGCTCAGCGCCATTTGGACTGAACGTGAAAACCCTAACGGAGCTTGGATGACGAGAACACCCGCTGGAAACACCAGGCCAGGGGTGATCGTGGACGCCCCTCGAGATTCTCAGGCGCAGGGGGGTGCAGGGCTGAAGAGGACTGCAGCTTCCAGAACCCAAGGCCGAGGCCGTTTGAGGGTGCCTCGTTCCCGGAACGCCCCACACCACTCACTGTACACATGCGGGCACACACATGCGCACACACTCGCACACAGTGAGCATTTATCAAGCCCTGGTGATGTGGGACGCAGCTCACGCACTGACTGAGCACAAGGCGAGGCCAGGACACCGCTGCTGCTGCCAGGCTTTCGGAGGGGAAAGAGCCCCCTCTGGAGGCGCTCACTCACCGTCTGCAGTGTGAAGGAGCTTGTGACTTTTCAACGTCCCTTTCGACTTGAACCTCTTGCCGCACAGGTCGCACAGGTGGGTTTTCTCGGCGCTGTGGCGGTTCATGTGGGCCTTGAGGTTGCTCTTGCTGCGCGTGGCGTACTCACACAGCGAGCACTTGAAGGGCTTCACACCTGCCAGGAGAGAGGGCACACTCGGGCACCCGCGTGTCATCAACACTGTGAACGAGGCGTGCCTGTCCGTAAGCTCGCTCGCTCTCCCCCAGGCTGCCCTCCCGGCCGGACGCCCTCCCGACGGGTCTGCCCAGGCCTCTGCGCCCCTCTGCGCCAGCCTTCTCCCGCCTCCCCCAGGGATTCCCTGCTCCCCATCCACGTGCCCACGGCCTGCAGCTCTCCAGGAGCTGTGCTGCTTATGGTCCTGCAGGGGTCGTTCACACCTGCCTCTGCCCACAGTCTGGGGACCCCTGGGGCACAGACCCTGAGCGGTGTGTCCATTAGATGCTCGTTAAATCCAACCAAAATGAGCTACAGGAACAAATTAAAGCCACCAAGGGCCTTTGCAAAACCCGCGGGGTAGGCCCCGGGGCAGACGTGAAGGCACAGCCACTCGCTAAGCGCAGCGGAGCCTCACAACACTCGTGCAGGTGGGGGGCGGCTGGGAAAGCGGGCACCTTGGCATTCGGCCACCCTCCTCCACTCACAAACGCCGACAGAACCCGCGTCATCGTGAGCACGGGGGCGATCCGAAGCTGGGAGCCCCCTGGCTGCACTGTCCAGGGGAAATGCAGACGAGCAAACAGGCCACCAGAGCCGAGTGCGACATGGGGTGGGGTGCCCCAGCCTCAGCACAGGGTGTGACAGGCCAGCTGAGGGAGCCAGCATCCTGCCCTTCTCCCCACTACCCGCGACTTCGCGGCAGACGAAACGGGCACACAGCTGAGGTGCACACGTGTGCTCAGTGAAGTGGCATCTCCCAGCCGGGCTCTGACCTCGGCCCTCCTGCCTCGTCCGGGTCCCTACTTCATCATCGTCGTCCTCTTCACCAAACTGTTAGCCTCTCTCCTCCTAAAGGGCCCTTCTCTGTGGCCAACAAACAGGTCATTTCTATCCCATCTGTGGAAGAGACGGAGCCCTTCATTCCCTCTGGGAGCTGCCTTGTCCCCCTAGAGTATTCCAGGTCCTTAACTCACAGGGCCCCAGGCTCGGCCCCAGGGGAGCCGTCCTCATGCAGGGGGGGGAGAGAGCTGGTGGCCTGCGGTCTCCAGCAGTATCCTGGCCTCCCACTTCCCCAAGTGCCTTCACAGGCAAGCCCCCCAGATGCACAGCCTACACCCCTCCTTCCACTTCATCTCCACACAACTCCTCCCCCCCCCCAAACCTTCTCCACCGTGGGACTCGGAGGGCGCGGAGGTCCTCCCAGCCTTCATCATTCGGAGCACCAACGCTGCTCGCACCTACCGGGCACAGCACACCCTAGTGGGCACCAGAGTTACTGCGTAACTGAGCAGGGCGGACCCTCGCTGCCTGGGCAGGAGCATGGGGATTCATTACCCACAAGGCAGCGAGGGCCGTGACGAAGCGCACACCTCGCGTCCCCGCAGCTGGGTAAGAATACGTCCAGCACTGGTGTACTGGACTGATGGGCATGCCTCTCGGCGCTAAAGAAAGTCCAAGTGCAGGAGCCCAGAGGCAGGGCTTCCTCCTAACGCTCCCCAACAGCATGCCAGCAGGACGCGCGGGGTGCTCCTCGCTTGGCGGACTCACCCTCGTGAGCCCAGATGTGCCGCTGGAGGTCGGAGCCGTTCTTCATGAAGTAGAAGTCGCAGTGCGGGCACTTCATGGCTCTCTTCCCGATCAGCCCTTTCAGCTGCACCCTCCTCCCAAGCACCTCGGAGATGGTGCTCATGGAGACCTCTGGAAGACACGCAGGGCCGTCAGCAGCGGCCGGGGACCCCTGGTCCGAGCCAGACGCGCGCGAACCTGGAGGCAGCCCCTGAAGCCACGGTGGGTCCCACCAGCACCGAGGAGGCCAGCCGGGGTGTGCCTGCGGCGCCCGGAGAACCTGGCCGAGTCTCCAGGTCCGTGTACACGAGTGGGAGGGAAGCAGACACCACCGGAGGCGATGGTCGGATAAAGCGGAGTGTGAGACCGTCCGCAGGAAGGGCGGACAGCTCTCCAACCAGTCGATGCCATGGAGGGGGAGGGGAGGACCGGGGGGCTATCAGAAGACACGAAACTTAAGTGGCCTGACAGCTGAGACAAGATGCCCGGATCCTGACTCAGACAAGCCACCTGTCGGGACACCCGTGTCAAATGGGGAAGTGGTGGTGAGAAGGGAGTAGTGTGAATTTGGTTTGTTTCCATGGTGACACTGGTTATACTGACAAAATCCTCAGCACAGATGCATTCTAAAGTATTTTTTTACAGATAGATGACATCATGTCTGGGATACACTTTAATATTCCAGAAAAAAATTCTCAGGGGCTGATACAGGAAACAAGTTTGGCAAAATGTAGATAACTGAGGAAACGGGGTGCCTGGAGCCCTGCCCCACGGACGGCCCAGGACTGGAGCACAAAGGGTGCATGCACTGCGATGGGGGTGCGGGAGGGCCCTCTCCCAGGCGGGGTCACCGCGGCCTCCCGAGGCGGGCTCTGAGGGAGAACGTGAGAGATGAACAGGAATTAGCTGGAACGGTGAAGGAGAAGCACCCCAGGCCCCGAGAAAGGAAGTGACAAGCTCTGAATGCCCGGCAGCCCGAGCCCCAGCTCCACACGGCTGAGTGGCGTGGAACTGACCGGAAGGGATGGTCATGCCCACTCACAGAGGCTCCTGGGCCTGAGGGAGCCCACACCCCTCAAAGCCACCACTCTGGGCAACGCGCACTTAGGGGAGGGGCCAGGCAGGGGCTCCCAGGGCGGGGCCTTTGCAGATGCCCTGGAGGGCCCATGCCAGGCACTGAAGTCACATCAGAGGGTGAGGGACTCGTGCGGCTGAGGGAGATGAAGGGTAAATGACGTGAATAATGACACAGACTCCCGCCCCCAATAAAGATGACGTTCCCCCGAGTGACCCCCGTCTCCAGCCCTCTCCACGCTCACGGGGTGCATGCCAGGTCACGCTGTTTCAGAGTGAGCGTGAGCACCCCAAAATCCATCTCCCGCTCCAAGGCTTACCTGGATGGTTCGTCTTGATATGCGACTTGATCAACCGATCTTCTGAAAAAGACTTTTCACACACAGGGCAAGAATAGCTCCTTTTGTCCTTAACAGAAAGAGAGCGTCATCAATCCACTGTCCTGTTTCAGCGGGGCTCCGTGGAAAGCTCCCCACCACCGCCGCCACCGCCACCATCACCACCACCACAGCCAGATGAGCAGCGCACCGGCCCAAGAACCTGCCATGCAGCCGGAGACTCGACAGTGGAAGGGGCGACGTCACCTCCGTGTCAGAGGGCAGGTTGGGGCTGGGAGGTGCCAGTCCTGGTGGCCGGGCCAAGAGAGGGCAGGGCTCGACCCCAAGCCTACGCACAGACCAGCGCTGCTCCGCACCACGTGTGGGGGTGCAGACGAGACAGCTGACTGAGCCTCTCCATGGACGGGCATCATTATGTTCGTGTTGCAGAGTAAGAAACTGAGGCCAAGGCCATGAGGAAGAACCAGTGTTGGCACCCACCCGGGCCCCTCCTACACCGAGCCGTGTCCCCTCGAGGCCGCAGGTCAGGAGCTGAGACGGCACAGCCGCTGCCTCCCTGGCACCGAGGTGCCGCATCGCAGTCAGGGAGACGTGTCTGTGGGTGGCCACGGCCTTGCTTGTCTGCCTGTCCGCTCAGAGCTCACTCAGGGGCTCTTTCACAGGACACATTTCCGGTGTCCCCCAAATCCACATGTGAAGTCCTAACCCCTAAGGCCTCAGACCCTATTTGGAAAGAGGGCCGCTGTGGATGTAATTACATGAGATGAGGTCATCAGGGCAGGCCCAGTCCAGTATGACCGGTGTCCTTACAAGGGAGATCTGGACACAGACAGGTACCCCAGGAGGACGCCCTGTGAAGACAGGCAGAGGTGTGGGCGACAAGTCTACAAGCCAAGGAACAGCAGCTAAGGGAGTCCCGGTGCACGCCCTCCCCACAGCCTCGGAGGGCATCATGCCCACACCTTGGTCTCGGACGCCTCGCCTCCGGAACCCACCGTGGACGGCAAACAGCTGTCGTCTCAGCCCCTCGGTGCGGAGCTGTGCTGTGGTGGCCCGAGGACGCGGGCAGTGGTGGGCTGAGCAAGGGCACAGGACAGCGGTGGATGCCACCTTGTGCCACAGGCGCGTCCCTCCAGCCACCAGCGTCGGCTCTCATCCCTGCTCCCACCTCAGTGCCCCCACCAAGGAGGACAACCAAGTGCACTCGGGTAGAGAGAAGCACGGCCCACCCAGCACAAGGCTCTAGAGCGTGACCAGGAACAAGCTCCCCGTGCCCACGTATGACCGCGCCGAAACCGGCGGTGAGGACTCGGCGCGTCCAGATGAAGGGAACACAGAAGCGACACACGCAGGAGCTGTGAGCCGGGAGAGCCCTGGGCCGTGCGCTCTGGGGGCGGGACTACAGGAGCAGCACACGCAGGAGCTGTGAGCCCGGAGAGTCCTGGGCCGTGCGCTCTGGGGGCGGGATGCAGTCCGTGCTCAGCTGGGTTTGCAGGAGGACTAAGGCCCCCTGTGATGAGCACCCGCCAGAGGCTCAGCGGCTTCGGGTGCCTCCAGTGTGTAAATGGACAGCCTCTCACAGACGCCCCAATGCCAATGCCGTCTGCTCATCCCACCGAGTAATGACAGCAACGGCGACCACGCCAGATAACGTACTGCAGGCATGGCGCTGGGCACAGCACCTTACATACCCAAACTAGAGGGCATGTAGGATCCTGCCCCAGCTCACACCCCCTGGAGAGCAGAGCTGGACGTCCAACCAGACCTCTGGACCCCAGAGCCCCTGCCCCGTGAGACAGGAGCTAAGGGCAGGGGCTCGGGACTCACAGGCCCTGAGTTCAAATCCTGTGTTCACCAGCTGGGGCAACTTCAGCCAAGTGACTTCACATGTCAATGTCTTAGCTTCCTGAACCCCTCCTTCGCAGGGCTGCTGGGAGGAGAGGAGACGGGAGCACAGAAAGGGGCTCCCGTTCCTGGTCGAGGTGAGACACTGGGAGTCTCCGCTCCGTCCCAACCAACGAAAAGACATGCGGTCACAGGGCAAATCACTGCCCCCAGCTGGACAGACAGAGGTAAAAGCAGGAACCACGACTTACTGGAGCCAAAACCCAGAAGCAGAATCAGCCCCGAGAGCCAGTGCCACTGTGAGTGCTAAAAATTCCAGGGGACCCAGTCCCGGGAGGGCCTCCTGAACTTCTGCGAGTTCACCTGCAGGAGCTCACCCTGTTCTCACAGTGACTATCAGAGAAAAGGGTCGAGGGTTCGATGCCTGTCAAGGGCACGTACTTAGGCTGCAGGTTAGATCCCCAGCCCCGGTCGGGGTCGTGCGGGAGGCAGCCAGTCGATATGTCTTTCTCACATCGATGTTTTCTCTCCCTCCCTCCCTCCCTTCCCTTCTGTCTAAAAAGAAATGGAAAAATATCCTCAAGTGAGGATTAAAAAAAATAAGTAAAATCTGCCAAAACTCATATAAGAAGAAACAATGTGAATAAGTGTTTATCTATTAAAGAAATTAAACTAATAATTAATAACCTTCCAAAACTCAAAGCACCAGGCCCAGATGAATTCGCCAGTGGTTCTGCCAAACGGGAAAGACAGACATTAAACCAGTTCTCTGCAATCTCTTGGGGAAGAGAGAAGCAGGGGGGCACTTCCTCACTCGCCCCAGCAGGCCAGCGTCACCCTAACATCAAAACCAGACAGATATGACAACAGGAAATGACAGGCCAATGTCTCTCGTGACAGAGGCAAAGCCCTCAACAAACACCAGCACACGGAACCCAACAGTGCACACAAGGGACTCGACACCATGTCCACGGGGCTGGTGCAGGTGTGCCAGGCGTGTGCGGGGAGGGTGCAAGGAGAACCTCTACCTCCCGCTCACGTTGCGGTGAATCTAAAACTGCTCTAAAGAAGAAACGTCGGTCCAGCGGGTGTGGCTCAGTGGTTGAGCATGGACCCCGCACCAGGAGGTCGCCAGTTCAATTCCCGGTCAGGACCCGTGCCCCGGTGGTGGGCCCGATCCCCAGTGGGGGGCACACAGAAGGCGGCCAATCGATGTTCTCTCTCATCGATGTTTCTCTCTCTCTCTGCTTCCTACTTCCTCTCTAAAAATCAATAAAGGAAAAAACAAATTTTTAAATAAAAAAAATAAACTTCGTCCGAGGAAGCATATGGAGAGCCCAGGACAGAGTGAGCTCCGGGGGGGGCTCCTGCACCCCGGGAACCTCCCAGAGGGGCCCGGAATGGGCGCACTTCCAGATCCTCTGTGGACTCGTTGCAGAATGTCTCCCGAGGCCGGTGCTCCCCAGAGTACACTTAAGAAAAGGGCACTTTATATTAAAAACAAGACAAAACCCCTCGGAACAACCAAACATCCGGGTCCCCGACAGCGCCTGCCAAGCCGACACCCAGGGTCCAGGCGGCTCTCCTCAAGCTCCCTGGGCTTCGTGCCCAGCCAGTCCCGGGACTTCCACTCGACTCGCCACGGCTCGAGGCTTCTCGGTGGGCATGCCCCTGCCCCGTCCTCCTCTGCCCTCCCGTCCAGGTCACCTGCGCACTGCCAGCACGCACAGAGGACCCTAGGCTCTCGGGGACATTCTGAAGGACGCCACGGGCCGGGCACACATCCACCCCACTGTCCCCAGTGCCCTCGTCACCGAGTTGATGCTTTCAGAAGGGCTTTGAAGGAGTTGACAGCGATCTCCCCTGAGTCCTTGCTATTTGATTTTTTTTTTCTTTTAATCTCTGATAGTCTGAAAGCAATTTATCTTAGAGCTTATCGGGGCCCCTCATTTCCTGATGCCTTTGAAGACTGTCAGAAGGACGCAGGCAGGGGGAGAGGGTGCAGGGAGAAGGGTGCACTCTTAGGACTCATTTATTTCTTTTTCAAAACCTCAGTTCCGTACCGGAGATGAAAACCCAAACTGACAAAGCAAACTTAAAAAGAGCGGTGGTAAAAAGCGTTCCTCGCAGGGGCAAAGAATAAAGATCCAGGCCGTGGTGACGGTGAGCGCCCAGCCCGGGAGTGTTTGTTCGGAGGGAAATGACCTTCAAAACAACACGAGACTCTGAAAGAAGGGAGGAGCCCGCAGGGGCAGGGGCAGGCGCAGGGGCAGGGGCAGCCCAGGGCTGCTGGGCAGAGCCCCGCTCTCCGCTCTGGCAAACCTCACCTCAGTCTACACTCCGTGCCACCGGGTGTATGAACTGTTGCTTAAGTCAGCACACCTACGATATAGTTGATACCAACTTAAAAAGTTAAGTGAGCGAGTCCACTCTGGATAATTTCTCAGCAATAAAAGGCCACGGGTATGGCGCCTGCTCCTCTGTGGACTCACCCCTCCCAGGGCCCTTGTTCTGAGCCAGGCTTTGCGCTGAGGACAAGGTGCGAGGCACAGACCCCACCCCGAGGGGCTCACAGGCTGGGGCAGACACAGAGGGCCCACACAGAGCCCAGCAACCATCTCCGGACACGCAAGTGTGGAGAAGACAGGAAAGGCGCCACTCAGATGGCGACCACTTGGAAGAGTTGGAAGAGCCAGAAGGTGCTCCGGTCTGGACTTCAGCTCCAGGGTTTCCGTTCACTGAGAGCAGCCCTGCTTTGCCAGGCCACGTCCCTGCGGGGCTCTGGGGCCCAGGTCTCAGGCTCTGGATAAACGCCCAGCAGGGCAGCCCAGAAACAAACTGGCCTGTGATGGAGTAGGAAAAGCCGTGGTCTTGTAGCTCCGGGAAAGGAGAAACCTACGCCCAATCATCTCGTAACATTTTCCTCTACCTAATAATGAGATACTAATAACAACAACAATAATAGAAACCCTACAGACTGACCCACTATTTCCAGAAAGATACTGGAGGTGGTGGCTCCCTCTCTCTGTGCTCTGTTGACAAAATATGATCAGTACGATTTTTTAAACCAAGTGCACTTTTTAAACTGTGTTGCCCAAAACAGAGCTGCACTTCTCAAAGACGGGGAACAGCATCAATTCTAACTCGACCCCCTGAGAGACAGCACTGCTGGGTGCGTCACCGCCGCCACTGTATCCCTCTGCCTCAGCCGTCCCCCCTACTAAGAAAAGGACCTGTGCGGTGTCCCTTATAAAGGCCTCTCGCTGAACTCCCACAGCGCCCCCTGGGGGCGGGCTGTGCTAGCCCCACTTTACAGAGGGGCCAGAGAGGTTAGGTGAGAAGTCACACCGCCTAGGAGTGGTACAGTGGGATGCAGCACCCAACACCCCGCCGGGCTGAGCACTGCTGCAAGGCCCGGGCGTCCCTTCCCCGGAGGGCTGCTGAGCAGAACAGGAGCCGAGACAAAGGCACTGCACGGGTACACCGGCCATCATGCACTCCGCCGCCTGCCCGTTCAAGGCCTGTGCCGGGAGACACTTTCTCAGTGAGCCAACTCCCAGGTCCCCCTCACATGGTGATGGAGGGATGAGCCCAGGACTGTCCTTCGTAACAATGACTCCACTGGGATTCTGATTCGGGACATGACGAATCGTGTCACCTGGGCCAGTGACTGACAAACTTATTTGGTGGGACACACAGGAGGGCAGCGATTTCACGTGGCCACCGGTACATACATGGACACACACTGACACCAACATACTGAAACAGAAACAAAGGTCTGGGGAATAGCCCTGGTGTGGGTGGGTCATGCTGACGGCTTCTATTTAATCCTATCCCGCTCCCTTTTTAAGATATAGTAGCTGTGGTCCATGCACCGAGTTAATGATCCTGTGATGGATCGCGGCCGGGACGGAAAACACACTGACTGGGGCACTCGACACTTTTTCTGATCTAACCCTCACTGCTCTGAGGAAAGGACAAAGCAGCTAATCTCCACCGCACAGATGAGAGGAGGAGGCTGGACGATCCGCCCTGGATCAGACGTGCTGTGGGGTCTGAACCGCAGCCTGCCGGAAGCCAAGGCCCCCACCGTGCAAGCAGCGCATGTCTGTGCACAGACCCCGTCCACAGGTCTGCACAGTGCTCCAGAACTGTCGCGGGGCAACACCCGGCCTGGGTCCCCGCGGTTCCTTGCACCCTTGACTGTAAGTCACACTCGTAGTGACTAATGGAGGGAGGAGACGCTGGGAAGAAACTGGATTAAGTGTGTGCACACCTTCCAATCGTTAGGGGGATCCTTAGCTGAGCAACGGTTTTCCAAAGTCGCATGGGAAATCAGCCGAGGTCTCCTGGAGCCCTATCACTACGGGGATGAACTTGGAGAGCTGCATTTGGGGTGGGGGCGAGGGTGGGGTTTCATTTTAAATTTCCTTACTTTTTAAAAAAAAACTTTTTTCTTTATCGACTTTAGAGAGAGAGGAAGGGAGGAGAAGAGAGAGAAATAAAACATCGATGAGAGAGAACATCGATTGGCCGCCTCCTGTACACCCCCCACGGGGGATCTGGCCCACAACCTGGGCATGCACCCTGACTGGAAATCAAACTGGTAACCTCTTGGTGCCTGGGTTCATGCTCAACCACTGAACCACACCGGCCGGGCAATTTCCCTTACTTTTGCACTGCATAGGACTCTGTTGAAAACAGGTAAGTCCTGCACCAAATGGGAGGGCCCAACCAGACTTTCAACACACCTGGTCTCACCTCCCTGGGTCACAGGTAAGGGAACCATGCCTCATGCTGACGCAAGGACGGGCCCCAGGCTAGGACAGCACTGCTCTCCAGACCCAGCTAGACCCTCCCCTGACCAAATTCCTCAGCTGGACAAGGACATCTGTCCGGCAGGCACCTTGACTTGTTGACACCTCGAAGCTCATTCCCGCCATGTCTGTGGAGCCCAGCACCTCCCTGAGAGAAGAGGGCCTAGAACTCCCTCCGCTGCTCCACATAAAGTGTCCAGAACAGGCAAGGCCACAGGGATGGAAAGCAGATGAGTGGTTGCCTAGGGCCTGGGAAGGGGAAGTCAGCGATGACAACACAAGATCTTCCAACCACGTCAACGTGACTTACTACCGTTGCTTTCATTACAAAAATAATACACAGGCTCGAAAGACAAATGTTGCCTCCACTCAGAATCCCAGAGCTGTTTCATAAACGATGCTCTTACTGCACTGCACACACAGGCCACCTCCTTCAGGAAAGCGCTGAGTCACTCCGCCTCCTTCAGGAAAGCGCTGAGTCACTCTGCATCCTTCAGGGAAGTGCTGAGTCACTCTGCCTCCTTCAGGGAAGTGCTGAGTCACTCCACCTCCTGATGGGAACACGGAGGCTCCTGGGTTTGTGCTGCCCACTCTGCTGGAATTCCTCCCTGCCTCTTCCCACGGCCAAACCCTACTCAGCAAGCTCAGAACACCTCCTCCTGGCAGCCCTCCTTACCTTGGCCTGGTCCTCTCCGGGTCAGTGTGTGTGGGCCTCGCGGACCCTCCCTCGTGGCCATGCTGCCATCACTGCCGCCCGCCGGCGTACCCCACAGAGCAGAGCCCTGCAGGCAGGCCCGGCTCGCTCTCCTTTGGAACCCCCGCGCCTGGCACCAGTGAACGACGCCTCCAGCCTCAGGAGCAGCTGCACACTCACCCTGAACCGTGTCTCAGACGGCCGGAGTGCGCGTGTCCGCGAGGCCAAAGACTGCATCACCCTTTCACAACCTCTCAGGGAACAGGGTGTTGATGGGCATCAGGCAGCCCCCCCTTCTGTGAGGTCAATGGAGTCCCACGCCTCATTCCCCCGTTCCTGACGTCTGGTCACCGGCATCGTCACAGCACAGTCCCCACTCCGGTGGGACCGTCTATTCCGCCAGTGACCCAGACACCTGCCGAGAGCGGCGTGGCTGAAGCTCACGACTGACCACCACGCAGTGTGGGGCAGTCACCAGACGGCGGGTGGCGGAGAAACATGTCCCTTACCAACAGCGTGACCGTGGGCAACTTACCCGATGACGGCCCAGTGCCGGAAGCAACGCCACCTCCTGGAAGTGGCAGGAAAAGCGAGGCATGGGAGGGCCTGGCCCTCAGCGTGAAACAGCACCTGCTACGTCCCCCTCCCCAGCACACCCCGGACACCTTCCCGAGGGTCAGCGCACAGGGGCGTCTCTGAAGGAAGATCCATGACCACTGAACGCTAAGCCAGAAGCTCCTTTAAATGCCAGGTCGTCAAGAAAACCACCAGCCCAGGAAACGGGCTGGAGAGCTGGGAGCAGGACCCCGACGCGGCCAGGAGGCTGCGCACACACCGGGGCGAGAGCACGGCCGCGGGCCCGAGGCCCCGAGCCGCGCAGTGGGTGTGGAGACAACAGGCAGGCCCAGGCTGTAACATTCTTTTCCAGCTTCCGGACTGATTTTTCTCATCAGTCCAAAGCCCAGGTTTCAAAATCTCTGAATCCAGAGCAACAAGTGCCCAGAGGGCAAGTGGAATAAAGAGCAGGCGTAACCACCACCGGCTGTAGTGCTCACTCCGCGGGCGGGCACTGTTCTGGGACAGCGGCAGGCAGCTCCTCGCTCCGTCCTGCCTGAGGACCGGTAACCGAGTGCGGCAGTAGCTCAGCGTGAAGCTGAGTGGGCAGCAGCCTGGCTGCTGGGACTGACGGCTGTGCCCCGGGGCTGCCCTGAGCGTTCTGTTTTCCTTTGGCCACACCCCGTCTTGACTTCACAGGGGCTTCTGCAAGGTCACCATAGTGATTCCTGGCACCCCGTTGTCCTTGACCTAAGAGAATACTGAAGCAGTACCAACCTGACAGCAATTCTGTAGGAAAATCGGACACGTTCCGGGTAGAACCAGGCAACATACGATAGCTGCACAGTCACCCACACCAGTGCTGAGCCAAGTTCTTTCTCTAGAGCATTCCATGTTAACCTCCCCACAATTCTAGCAGCTCTACATACATACACACACAAACATACGCCTTTGCACATGTGTACATATGCGTACTGTGTTTAATGTACATGTAGGTGTGTACACGTGCTTACTAGACTTATCAGAGGGATCACTTCATAAATGACATAACTGTTTAACCACTATGCTATATGTTTAAAACTAATATAGTATCGAAGGTCAACTGTAACTGGAAAAAAGTCATTTAAAAAATACCTATCTGTGTACTGGTGTGTCTGAGCATATTTGTGTATGCATTCATGTGTATGTGTGTACCGAAGACAAGTATCTACTTTTTAATATATATTTCCTACGCCTCAGGAAGGACAAGTGACCTGCCCCACATCACACAGCCTGTGCAAATGCTGGAGACAGGATTTGCATCCAGGTTTCTAACCCCAAAGGGCATGTTCTCACCTACCCACAAAACCTGAGAAACCCCGATTTCACCCTTAGTGACAAAATGCTACAGTGGTCATGATTTTGGTGCCAAAAAACGGTGGCATGAACATGAAGTTTCTGAAGTCTCGCCTGTGGCAATGAAAACAGACCCACCTGGGGCCAGCTGTGCCCCCTGACCCCTGTCTCAGGTCACTCTCAGGTGTCAGCCTCTTCAATCCAGTGAACATTCGTTCCTGGGTTACATGAGCTCCCACCAAAGAATTAAACACATGTACCGACGTGAATATTAACAGCACCTGGGATAAACATCCCCTTTTCTAAAAAAGTAAAACTGCTTCACAGATATTCTCGATTTCCTACAAACACCACCATCATCGGACAAGCGTGGTCTCCGTTCACTGTGCTCCTCTATGAACCAAACACCGTGCTCGACGCCTGACAGTTGAGGGATCGCATTAGATGGCGCCAACTTGAGTGGCCGCTGGTATACTGCGTGGTCCCTGATCTCAGCAATGCTTTAACGTCACTGAGGAGGCCCTGGCTGCCTGCCTCTCCTGCAGGCCTTCCTCCTGCTGACGTTCTCCGAGGCTGAACGTTCCTTATAGAAGCAAATCTACTCACTCTGGTCTTTCGCTCATCACACTGAGACTCCCCGCGGGAGGAACCCTGGGGTGAAGGTGGAGCCTGTGTCGTGAGAAGGACCTCTCTGGTCTCAGGGTGGGCGCCGACACCCCGGACTGCCACGAAGCGGGGACACCTCCGAATGCATACAAGTGAGCAAGCAGGAGCACCCAGGGGAGACGGGGCTGCCGCTCGGGCTTCTACTTACCAGCTCAGTGTGGCCTTTAAGGTGGGCCTGCAGCTTATATTTATCTGGAGTCGAGTAGTCACAGCCGTCAGTGGGGCACTTCAGCAAGACGTTGCTGTGTTTCTGAATTACATGGCGTTTAAGGCAGTTTTTGGTGATGGAAGAATAATGACACTGGGAGCAATAATACAGATGTTCCCGGGTGTGGGTGCGGACATGCATGTCAAAATGCACTTGGTACCAAAAAAGTTTGCCTAAAAAAATATTTTCACGTGAGAACAAGGAAGTTTCTTTTATACTGAATTTGATTTTTTTTTTTTAAATTATTACGACTTTGTAACTGCTATATTTGTCTACGTCTCCTGCTTGTCCGGGTCACCCTTCACACTTTCCACCACATTTCTGTCTGCAAATCATTCTCAGAAGTGGGAGGTTGCCAATGTTAAGGATGCTACTTTCTTTTTTTTTTTTTTGCCAGATGTCAGAGCTAGGAGAGGACCCAAATGTTTGCTGAGGACCAATTAGGTGTCAAAAACGATTATGCACACGCATAAGTCAGAGTCTCTGCACTCTAGTGACCCTCCCCGGCCCAGAGCTGCCCCGCCCCTGGCTGCCAGCCCTCCAGGGACTCCGAGGCCGTGCGGGCTCTGGACTGGAAGCTGCTATTCAGGGCCTCCCCACGGGCGCTGCAGCCACTTCCAAAGCCTCTCTCTGCTCGGCTAGAACTCAGCCACGCTCAGCTCTGCGGTACACGTGCCCCATGCCAGAAGAAAGGTTCTCCCCGGTTAAAGTTCTGGCAGAGGTGGCTGAGCCGCCGCATGCGTGCCCAGCTGAGCCCACGCGCCTCGCTGTCCTGTCCCCCTGCCGCCTTCACAGACCTCCGCAGGGTGGCCACCCACTGCTCTCTGCGCAGGAGGGACGGCTCCCCTAGAAGCCGCGCTCGGCAGAGACGTGAGCTCACACCAAACGTGAGGTGCCCTGAAGCCAGGCGGGCTGCCTGGAGGGAGAGGCCTGCCAGCATGCCCCGCTGCTCTTACCACAGTATTCACACTCCAGGTCTCCATACACCTTCCGGATCCTCTCGCAAAGGCCGGTGTCCATCCGCCTCTTGTGCAGACTGTCCAGGATCCTCATGAACGCGTTCATGTTGGCCCGGTGTTCAGGGACAGGCATGTGGAGGTCAGGTGGGTGCGGGGCTGGGTCCCCCTCACCGGCGCCCGGAGGGAGGTCCGGGGCTTCCGCTGACCTGAGACACCTGCTGGGCTCTGGCCCGTTGGACAGGGGGGCGGCGGCCTTCCGCCCTTCCCCTGGGGGGCTCTCGGCTCCATGGGTCTCCTGGTTTTTGGCAGGGCCTGTGGCCTCGGGCAGCAGAAGGGCGACTTCCTGGCCCTGCGTCGGGGTGGGGCCTGCGGGCTGGGCATCCAGGGTCTGCTCAGGGGCAGCGGGAGCCTCGGTGGAGGAGGCACCGCTTTTCAACAGCAGCTCCTCTGAAACCACCACGTGGGAGTGAAGGTCCGAGGAGACCACCACGGCCTCCAGCTCACAGAGGGGCAGGGCCGGGCTCCTGGCCTGGGAGGGGGGGGCTAAGTGCACGGCCGGGACCGGCACCTCCAGCGGGGCCTCCGGCTCCTTCTGTCCCCCCTCGGGCCCCGGGTCCCCGGGGCAGGCTGCCTCCTTGGGGGCCCTGACCCCCTGGAACGCAAACTCCTCCCCCGCCAGCTGCAGCGAGCCGCCCAAGGCTTCCTGCGGGCCGTCCCCGCCGGGCTCCAGGAGGCAGAAGCTCTGGTTGATGGAGCTGGTGAAGACCGCGGGCTCCTGGGCCGCCCCGTGCGCCTCCCGGATGTGGGCGCGCAGCCGGATGGAGCTGACGAGCTTCTTGCGGCAGATGGCGCAGACGTACACGAAGGGGTGCTTCCTGACGTGCAGCTCCAGCGCCTGGTACTTGGTGGCCCCGTGGCCACAGAGCTCGCAGGCGAAGGGCCACTTGTCGCCGTGCACCAGCATGTGGCGGTCGCGGTCCAGCTCGTTCTTGAACTTCCGCTCACAGACGTGGCAGTCGTAAAGCAGCTGCCGCTTGCCCTCCCTGGTCAGCAGGCAGAGCCCGTCCAGGGCCTCCTTGACCCGCTGGTCCTGGGGGTCGTGCACGTCGCGCACGTGCTTGATGAGGTTCTTCACGTCGGAGTACTTCTTCTTGCAGAAGCCGCAGTGCTGCTTGATCTTCTTGTGCACCCGCTCGATGTGCACCTTGAGGTGGCCCTTGCTCAGGCAGGTGAAGGAGCAGTCGCCGCAGGAGAACTTCTCGCCCGTGTGCTTGCGCAGGTGCACGTTGAGGTTGGCCTTGATGGCGCTGGCGTAGCTGCAGTGGGAGCAGCTGTACGGCTTCTCCTTCGTGTGCGTCCTCAGGTGCGCCTGCAGCGAGTGCTTGAACTTGAACACCTTGTTGCAGTACTCGCAGGTGAAGATCTTCAGCTGGGTGGGCCCGAGCCTGGAAACAGAGGAAGCACCGTTACCGCGGAGACCGCACGTCCTCAGGGCCTCCAGCTCCTGATGGACCGAAAGGGAGGGCTCAGAAGTGAACTACGCGGACGGAGCACTCGTCCATCCACCAACAGGGCCGGAGGGGCCAGGGGGCCAGGCGCACCCACGGAGGGAGAGGGGCCCCTGTTCCTCAGGGGCTCGGGCTGGGGAGAGAGGACAGGTGGGCACATGGCTGCGTCACAGTGTGGCGAGTGCCGACAGCCATGTGAGCAGGAGAAAAGACAGAGACACGTCTGAGCTGGAGTTAGGTGGTCGGGAAGCTCGCTGATGCAGGGAGGCCTGGGTTGAGGCACAGAACAAGGAAGAGGGAGGCAGGAGGGGAGAGGGTGCGTCGTTGGAGACACACTGTGACCAGCCGTGTCAAAGCCGACCTGTGCGTACCTGGAGTACTGCACGGACAGTCTCAGCGGCAGGAACTCAGCGGGCTTGCTCAGTCATCATGTCAACAGTCCAGACTGGCCTATTCATTCAGCCCGCCGTCGGGGTGACAGCCCTTCCCTGTGTCGCGAGCTTCCATCAGTGAGAGACCCCGGCCTTTCTCCCTGTGTCCCCTTCTTCCTAGGAAGTGACCTGACATGTCTGGCCGGGAGTCTGGAACAGGACCAAGCCTCAGGGCCCGAGCTCCCTCTCCCTGTCTGGTGAGGACGCGTCTGGCCGTGGACAGCGTGAGACGGCACGCGTGGGCCTGCCCGGCAGCGGGCAGGACGGCAGGTGGGAGGCCGGCTGTCCAGGTCTGCAGCACAGGCACAGGCAGCTCAGGAAGGCAATGGAGAGCCCCTCCTCCCCCTGCTCTGCCAGGACCGGCTTAGCCTGAGGGTAAGGAATCTGCAGGCCAGCTGTCAGCTGTGGACCTCGTGCCTGGCTCACTAACAATGACTGCCACCGGAGACACTGTGTGCGCTGCGGGCGCTGTCCGGTGCGCTGGAGGAGAGCGCAGCGCGTGGGCCGCTCCTCTTCAATAAGACCACGTGTGAGCTGAAGGACATGGGACGAGCGCTGAGCACGCAGCCCCGAGCCCTGTGCCAAGTGTGCAGTCCCAGCCCCGTGTCCATGCCCACTTCACAGACAGGGAAACCGAGTAGCTGCCCAAGCTCGCACACGCGGCGGGTGTGAAGCCAGGACTGGAACCCGAGCACTGCCTGCCTCCAGAGCCTGCACATTGCTCCCCTCCTCTGAACTGAGAGACACTGCGCACCCCGAGCGGGACCGCACTCATGGAGAGGCCCCTGTGTGGGCTTCTGTTGCTGTGGGGACAGTCATGCCTTGTCTCTGAAACCAGCAAGTGACAGTCACCGAAGCACTACACCGTGCACGGGGACAGGGACCGGCGGACGAGCCAAAGGGGCAGGTGAGGCTCCCTCTCCCGGGACTGAGCCCTCTGCATGGTGTGTCCCGGTTGCCCAGTGACCACGCGGTGCTGCTGACCAGACATCTCCAGGCCACATCCACTGGAACTGCAAAGTCCGTACTGAGGGAACTAGCCACATACCTGTGTTTGATCAAAGGTGGCCTTGTCCTGAAGTTAAAAATATATAAATGGCCCTCGCCGGTTTGTCTAATCAGTAGAGCATCAGCCCACGGACCAATGAGTCCCGGGTTCGATTTTAGCCAAGGCCATGTACCTAGGTTGCAGTTCGTCCCTGGCCCTGGACGGGGTCACATGGGAGGCAACCAGTCGATGTGTCCCTCTCACGTCGATGCTTCTCTCTCTCTCTCTCTCTCTCTCTACCTGAAGATAAATAGAAAAATATCCTCGGGTGAGAATTAAAAAAAACAACAACCAGGATTAAAAAAACAAAAAACTGCAGTCCATAAACACCAGGGGGTTCAATTCATGGGGTGCAGTTAAAATATTCAAAGGTGAAAGCTACTGATCTGCCTGCATGCTAAACCCTATGCTACTCTAAGCAAACTCATGTGGATATTTCTGCAATGATAAAGACATCCAGGAGGTGATACATTTTGTTGGTGCAAAGAACACAGAAGGGAGAAACCCGGGATTCACGACGTTAACTAAGCAAACACATCACGGCATTTCCTTCTAATGTGAGCTCTAACCTTAGGAGAATCTTGGGCTGCAACGTTTTGGTTACTAGACACACACCTGACAAAGCCCCTGGTCCCGGCTCCCGTGAAGGGAACGAGTCTGATGAAGATGTTGCGACCCTGCACCTGCTCTGAAGGGCAGACCCCCGGCCCTGCTCAGTGGGCGGGCGCACGTCGGAGCCTCCCCTCAGTGTGCCCTGCTCAGTGAGCGGGCACTCGCACCCGCTGCACTAGAAAGCAATCAGGCAATCGATCGGTTTGAAAGGCCAGACCCCTTGATGCAAAAGAAACAATACAAAACAGCTCAGTGAGCTCTTTCTCACAATAGTTAAGAGCGGGAAACTGAGAGTCCCAACATAGGAAAGTACTCTGCACAGTTTGTCTTCATTCATTCATTCATTCATTCATTCAAAAAAGTATTCCAGGCACTAGGAATACAACAGGGATGAAAACAAACCCCACCCCTGCTCTCTTGGAGCTAACCCTCTAGAGGGCTCTGGGCCAGCTGACCAGCCATACAAATGAGCAGATGAAGACCATCAGCTCCCTACTGCGATGGGAAAAGGCATCTGCCCAGGAAGGGCCCAGGTCAGGGCAGAGTGATCTCCCTGAGGGGCGGGGCAGCCACCCGAGGACTGCACAGGTGAGCAGACAGCTGAAGGATGCCCGGGGGAGGGGAGACGTCAGGACGAAGAAGAGAGATCAAGGAAGTAAAAAGGGCCCAGATGGCTTCCGGGGAAGCTGGAGCCCAGAGAAGCAGAGGGAGCAGAGGAGGGGCCCGGTGGAGAGGAGGCGGTCCTGGGAGTCCTGGGCCAAGTTCTCCTAGTGGCAGGACTGATGGGAGGACTAGGGGGCCCAGGGAAGTGGGTGTTCTCCAAGACCCCATCGGCTGCAGCGTCCAGAGCTGAGCAGAGGTAGCGCACCCTCACTGTCCACAGCCCTCACCCCAGAACAGACGGTGAACAAGCTGAGCCACGAAGGAAAGAAAGGACAATGTTACAAGCAAACCACACAATTGCTCATAAAATATACTCAATTTTATAAAATACAGGGGCTGAAAAAAGGCTGGAAGGGAATACATGAAAAATATTAACAGTGGTTATCTTAGGGTAGTGAGGTTACAGATGATGTTTTAATGCTTTTCTGGACTTCCAACATTTTCTATATAATAAATCTGTGCCATAATTGCAAGAGAACCCAACTGATATGACCTAGTCGGCATACTGCTATCACCTAGAAGTTTCTATCCGTATTTTACAAAGCAAAATCATCATACTAAAAAGTCTCTTTCATAACTATTTTATAATCAATACTACAAAATATTAACAGAGCACGTGGCAATAGAAATGCAGCCTAGATCTGTTGATCACATATGAGTCTACCTACCTGTAATAGAATTAGCGTTTAGTTGAACCCCTCCCAACAGACCTTGAAATACAAGGAAGATAATTAGCTAAGGTCCACCAATCAACCTGAGTGGAGACCAGAATGATCTTCAGTGTTAATTCCATTACAGTTTTGCCAAAGGAATGAGTGATCTGTACAACTTCACCGACACATGAAGCTGTTCACGGCGCAGGGGGAGTGCCTGGGGCTGCAGCCCCCGTGGCCTTATGCTCCTGAGTGCACCGCAGGCCAGACACTGCCTCGTATTTCATCACTTATTCCCACCACCGCCTGAGTCAGGCTCCATGGACACGCTTACGGCCGGTGTCACAGGGGCTCGGAGGCAACACCCCCTGCGTCACGTCACAAGAGAGCGAAAGCTTCATCGGCAGCCGCTGTGTCTGTCCTACTCCCTCCCACACCCAGTACCTGACACACAGCAGGTGTTCAATCTGGGAGCTGAACTCTAGTAGAACAGTCCAGAGCCACCCGGGTGGACTGGGCACTAAGCTCATTCTCTCTTCAAGGACACTCGTCCCCTCTCCAGAAACAGGGGGACCTGCTGGCAGGCAGGTCTGTTTGCTCGTCCTCGGCTGGAGAAACGTTTGCAGGCCTACTGACCAGCCTGCACCACCTCTGCAGGTCCGCATGCGGCCCCGGGAGCGTGCGGAGAACACGCGCCTTCCCTGTGGGCTGCAGACCGGCCGAAACAGGGCTTGATTCCGAGGCGAATCAAGAGGCCCACGTCCTCTGTGAAGCCCTGAGCGTCTCACATGCTGTCCTCTTGCTGCTGTGGCGGGCACGGGCGTCCAGCCGCTGGCTGGAGTCACACGGAATCGACACCTACCTGCTTGACTTCATGGGCTGCTCGTACGGCGTCTGCTGAATGGCGTACTCCTGGTACCCTCTCCGAGGCGCCAGGTCGGCCGGGGTGGCCTCGGGGTGTGTGGTTCCTGTTTCTGGGGGCCCAGCTTCCACGGGAACAATCTTGGTAGCACCTGGGATGGAGGCACAACGCACCGCTATCAGAGAGGCACCGCGAGTGGCCCTGCCCCAGCCCAGCGCAGAGACAGAGCCGGGCAGTATGGACCCTTCCTGCATGATACCGTGCATGCTATCATTTCCCTTCAGCTCACACATTTAACCTGTGTGTGCCCTTGGGGGGAGGGGGCACGTTCTCTAATAACCTATCAGAGCATCCTGAGGTCCATTTTCACTTGATCTATAAATTAAAAAAACACAAACATACAGGTAAATACTTACATATGCTTACCTGCAACGTGTTATATGAAATCACACATGTTGGACTTTACGTGAATGTAAGCTACACAGCGTGGCACAGTGGAATCGGCTGGCCAACAGTGGACAGGCAGTGAGGAGGCCTGGGGCCCAGTCCCAGTGACATTACCCACCACCCCCGGGCCTCCGCTTCCACCCACAGAGTGAAGGGTTTGGAGTGGAAACACTCAAAGGCCACCTCACTCACACAATTCTACATGTGAAATGGTCAAAGACCTTTTATACAGCGGACACTTCATAAGGACGCACATGTGTGTGCACATACACACACGTATGTATCAAGTGCACTGAAGAAGAGGCTTCAAGCCCTGGCTGGTTTGGCTCAGCAGTTAGAGCATCGGCCTGTGGACCAAAGAGACCTGGGTTCAGTTCCCGCTAAGGGCATGGACCTCGGTTGCAATTTGTCCCCCGACCCGGCTAAGGTCATGTGGGTGGCAGCCAGTCGATGTGACTCTCACATCGATGTTTCTCTCTCTCTTACTTCCTCTCTCCCTCCCACTCTATCTCAAGATAAATGCAAAAAAATGTCCTCAGGTGAGGATCTTAAAAAGAAAAAAAAAAGGCTTCAAGCTACCTCTTGTTTCTGTGATAGCAAAGGAAATTAACTACACTTTTTGCTCCCACTTAGGGAAATCTCAAAATACTACCAACAATTTTTAAGAAATTATTACAGAGCCTTAGTGACTTTGGCTCAGCAGTTAGAGCATCAACCCGATGTCTCCCCCCACCCTCCACTCTAAAAATCAATGGAGCCCGGCTGGTGTGACTCAGTGGTTGAGCATCTACCCTGCACCAAGAGGTTGCTGGTTCGATTCCTGATCAGGGCACATGCCCAGGCTGTGGGTCCGATCCGCAGCGAGGGACGTGCAGGAGGCAACCATCGATGTTTCTCTCTCTCTCCCTCTCCCTTCCTCTGCATAAAATCAATGATGAAAAATAAAAAACCAATGGAAAAATATCCTCGGGTGAGGATTCACAAAAAAAAAAGAAGGAAGAAATTACTGTAGAAACTTCCTCCGGGTGCTGAGAACAGGAGCTGGGTGCAGGGACTTGCGCGTCCCCGACACTGCTCTGAAGGTGGGGTGCGGGGGGAGTGCTTTCCCGAAAGTCCCCGGGTCACGGACCGTGGGGTCACTGTCCTTGCCAGCACACTCGGCGTGAGGCGGCAGAGGTGCGCACTAGGCGTTTTCCTTTTGAACGATGAGTCGCTCTCAGCATGAAAATAGACGCTTACGAGGCTGATGCTGGTTTAAAATCCGAAACTTAATTTCTTCATTTCATTTGACATCAATCACCCCAAATGAATGGGGGGGCATTATTTTACTTTGGAATTTATGATGAACTGATTCTAGTCTGAAGTAACCCTGCTGGAAGAGGCTATGTTTTAAAGCAGTAAAAGATACCCCCTTGCTACCTTACGTGGAAGGAGAGGGAGGCGGGGACCCCAGCACACGAGCATCTGACGGGCCCGCTGAACAGGCACAGCAGGGTTAGGCGGAGGGAACACTCAGGGGGGTTTTGGAGAAGCAACAGCCCCGCGGAGCGCAGTGGGGGAGGAGGGCATCCAGGGTCAGGGCTGGGTCGGGGCAGGGACAAGCCCGTCTTGGCCGCTCCGGCGCTGCTGGGGCGGAGGGCAGGGAGGCCGGTCAGGGCAGCAGCAGCTCCCAGCACCTCTCCCCACGTTCTCCGCAAAAGCCCTGGCAGACAACCTGTTGTTGTCCCAGCCCAGGGGGCACTAAATGGAGAGCCCCAAGTGAGCGAGCTGCCCGGGGTCCCAAGGTCCGAGTTGTCGAGCTGCCCTCGGCACAACCTCCCCCAGAGACTCTCATGGTGTCACTCCCGCGCGTGGGGTCACCTGGAATAGCTTCGTGTGCAGTTAAAAGCACGCTGACGATGGGTTTCTTCGCTCCGGACACCTGCACAGCCTCCTTGCCCGAGGGGATCCTCTGGACTTTCTCTGTCCTCTGCGTCCGCGGTCTCCTCGGAGCCTTTTCTCGATCTTCTTCCTTACACTTCTTTTCCAGTTCGAGGTCAGATTCATTACCTAAGGAGCAAACACGGAGCTGGATAAAGTGTCCATGGCAGGAACAGTTTTGGAGGCACACACGACCTCCATGGGGTGGGAGGGACACGTATCTGTGTGGCACACGCACTGGTCCATGCCGCGGGCAGGCCACCATGGCATCGTCCTGGCTCCTCAGTCTTTCATTCCAGTCAGTAAATATCATTGCACCCAGGCAATGGGCACACCTTGTTGATAAAGCAGGCACAGCCCCTCGGCTTGTTTCCATGAACCCCACCCGACTTGAGTCATTAATAAACATCACTGGGGAGAGGGTAAGATGGCAGAGATGGACAGCCTAAGAAGAAATCGCTCACTGACTCATCACACAGTGAGCAGGTACCGCTACGGGCCAGGCATGGTGGACAGGAAGACGGCTGGGGCACCGGCTCAGACCCCGCCCCTAAGCCCTGTGCTCCCGCGGGAGAGACAGACGTGCCAACAGGTACAGCTCAGCTGAAGACAGTCCTCTCCACACCAACTCAGACGAGAAGGGGTTCGGCACAGTGACGGGAAGGGATGGTAGATTCCAGAGGACAGGTCAGAGAAGACTTTCCAAGGAGGCGCCCCTTCCGTCAAATATAAAACAAGCACTTGTGGCAGCAGGCAATGCCACAGGTGTACGGGGCAAGGGCGGGCTCGTAAAAGGGCAGTGTTCCCTTCAAAGGAAGGACAGCAGAGAACGGGGATGCGGTGAGAAGTCTGGACCGTCGGTGAGTGCCGGGGGGAAATGCCACGAGCATGGAGACCAGTCAAGCAGCACAAGTGGGCGACGCTGACCGAGGAGGCTCCCGTGGAGGGCCCAGGGCCCAGGCCCCAGCTCCAGCCAGGGCTGCGCTGCTGGGTCCTGGGACAGTCGCCAAGTCTTCTGACTGTTCTAAGGGAGACTGCAAATCCAAATTTCCACATGAAATCTGATTTTTCAGGGTTGACTCTAATCTAAAGATTTTTAAAGCAATGGGGGAGCCAAGCACACACATGTGACCTGCCCCTCCCTGCCTGCCGCGTGGGAGGCAGTGGTAAGCGGGGAAGCATTGGGGCCTTTGGGGGAGGGGACGTCAGATTAAGTTCGTGCCTTAGGTCTGCGCCACCACCGAGGAAATGAACTGAGTGGGTTCCAGAGACATTTGAACGTGCCAGAGAATGGCTATGTCAGCCACAAACAGAACAGAACAATGGCTGAATTCTTTTGGCTACACTTGGCATCAGCCTGAGGGGTAAGAGACGCTCAGACACCAGAGTGAAGACTAAGGGAGCAGCAAGCTTTCTTTTTTTTTAAATCCTCACCCGAAGACATTTTTCCATTGATTTTCAGATAGAGTGGGAAGGAGGGAGAGAGAGAAACATGGATGTGAGAGAGACACAGAGATTGGTTGCCTCCTGCACAACCCCAACCGGGGCCTGGGATCAAACCACAACCAAGGTAGGTACCCTTGACCGGAATCGAACCTGAGACTCTTTGGTCCCCAGGCTGACGCTCTAACCGCTGAGCCAAACCGGCCAGGGCCACAGCAGTGAGCTCCTGAAGGCACGCTAGTCCGGATTCCTGAGCAAGAAGCAAACAAGGGAAGAAGGGACAGGCCTTAGAACCACTGCTGCCTGAACTAGCTGCCCAAGAATCCAGTCCTCAGCTATGTCGAGTAGACAGGGACAATTCACAGGGCCCTTTATCAGAGATGAGCCGGAGTGGGCGGACAGCTGCAGGCCGGCGGACTGCGGGAGCCTGGAGGCGCTGGGTTACCGGGCAGTGAAGGTGGGACCGCGCGATGAAAGGCAGAAACCAAAGGACAGCCGGAGGCGACTGGGGAACTAGGAGGCCAGTCTGCCTACAGCCAGACTGCGCACCACTGTCCCAGCAACGGCCCGAGGGAAGAGACGACGGAGAGAAACCGATTCTCAGGAGGCTGGGCTCTCAAGATGAGGCAAGGGAACCACCTGGCTAATGCAGATTGATCCAAACACACACTAACGTCCTATTTTCTGCAAGTGGAAGACTTTGGGTGCTTGTCCCCATCAACAGGTGCTTGGGGCATTTTTAGACCTGGCAGAAATAGTCTTATGGATTTTTATGAACTGACTGGAAAAGGTCCTTAGTCATATAATAGTATCGACACTAAATATGTTAACATAGAACTGGAAAGAAATAGTAGCAGATGAGATCATGAGTCACGCGGAGCTAACTGTCCATCATGCCCTACAGCCAAAGGGAAAAAGTCAAGGACCATCATGTACATCCATCCCTCGAAGAATGTGATAACCCCTGAAAACCTGAGAACAGCCCTGGCCAGTTTGCTCAGTGGTTAGCGCGCCAGCCTGCAAAGAGTCATTCCAGCTGATTCGGGTTCGATTCCGGTCAAGGGCACGTACTTCGGTTGCAGTTAGGTCCCCGGCCCTGGTCGGGGTCGTGTGGGAGGCAACTAGTTGTTGTGTCTCTTTCATATTGATGTCTCCCCACTCCCCACCCCTTATCTAAAGATAAATGGAAAAATATCCTCAGGTGAGGATTAAAAACAACAACAACAAAACAACAAACCTAAGAACGGGGCCAAACCAGGGACACCCGAGTCGATGCCCGTGCCTGCTTTCTGTGATGTCTGAGTTGCAGTGGGCCTGGTGGCAGGTTCTGTTTCATTCTTTCATTGTTTGGTGACTATAATAGAAACACTTTGAAAGGTCTACAGATTGCCTGAGTCGCAGAAGCTCTTTGGTGACTACATAGTAGTTAACTGACATGCATACGTAACTACAGCAGCATGTAAAGAATGGTCAAGAGGCAGAAACAATGTATCGTGGGATAGATACATACATACTTTTGTTTCTGCGTGTTAAACGATGTGTCATCTTATCAAGGAATTTTCCAGGGACGCCGTTCCGCGTGCGGGGACGCGGCAGGAAGAGCTGCGCCAGCGGAAGAGCCGCATTAGACCCTGTTCCAGCGGGGTCAGCAACACGGCAGCCGGCGTTTGTAAGACGTATGGGAGAGGTGGCAGTACGCTTCCCCCACACCCTGTCCTGGGCAGATGACCTCGGCAGCAGCCTTCGGGAGCACATGTTAAGAAGACCCTGCAGAACTGAGTGCGTGAGGATGATGGCCCGGAGTGGATGAAGTTTCGGGAGACTAAAACCCAAGAGCGGTGTGAGTCGGCCTAGGTGAGAAGACGGGAAGAGAACCCCGCCGCTCACCATCCCGACGGCTGCCACCCCACCATTCCCGGCGACGACGCTGCCCGGCCCTCCCCACAGCCAAGGCCGCGGGGGACCTCGGCGTGGCCAGTGGGGTCTCGGTAATCTGCCAGGGGGCTCTGGGGATGGTTTTCTTCCCAGAAGAAGGAGATGCCCGTCTTCTTCTGCTGGGCTCTGCCTGTCCACTGCCGGGAACTCAGGCGATCACCAGCAACTGCGAGGTCGGGCAAAAGTCCGGGTCACCGCCTGGAGGGTCGTGGAGAGGAAGGTGGGTCCCCGGGCTGCGAGGGCACAGCGGTGTCACAGAACCAACCCTGGAACTGCGGCCCCCACCCTCTCGTTCCATGAGAGAATGGACATTCCCATTTTCAAACTTGTTTTTGACTGGTGCCTCTACTCAGAAATCTCGGCTATCCACTCCAAACCATTCTCCACCTTGACCCTAGCCCTAGACTGAAGTGTTTTAAAATCTGACCCCTGCTTCAAGCCCTTCATTAGGAGAGGGGGCTGGCTGGAGTCCTCCAGGGGCTGCCTGAGCCTCGCTCCCATGGTCCCTTCACCTGCAAGGCCAGGACTCCAAGCACACACCTGTTCACCCGCCTGGGCTCCAGAGATCTGAACTACAAGTTGACTGACCGCCCATGGCTTTGTGCCGCCCTGGACCACACACAGCTCCCTGTGACCTGTAACGCCCATTCACATGCCCCTGCTTGTGCCAATGACAAATTGAAAGGTGCCTCAGATTTATGCACACACACATGCACACACATGCACACAAGTGCACACACGTGCACACACACACAGAGGGGCCTGGCTGGTGGGCCAAGAAGTGACCTCCACAGCCATCATTCTGCCCTGCCCATGGGAAAGGCGCCCCAGCACCTCGACATTGCCTCTCAGCACCCCTTTCCACCTCGTGCACTCCCTGCGGAGGCCCTGGTCGGCTTTGCAGCAGGCTGAGTAGGGGAAATAGACTGGCGTTTGCTCCCTGTGCCCTCAGCCAAGTCCCCACAAGCTGCAAAAGGCCATTTGCTCCTGACTGCTGTGTGCGGATGAAGAGCCCCGCTCCAGCGCCCCCTGCCTGCACCAAGGCACAGCGAGCCGTCGACTGGCACGTGACTGCCACTCCAGCCCCTGCACCTAGAGCCAGGCACCTAAAACCCCATCCTGGTGGCGGACGGCGTGCCAGTTCTGCTTGGCAGCCACGCACTTCGCTGTGAAGAGGCAATTCTTGGAAAGTGAGAAAAACCATTTCAGTTCTCTTGAAACAGGTGAACGCCCACGCCCCTGCACCGAGACGGACTGAGCCTGCTGGTGCAGGCACAGCTAGCTGGGGGTGGCTCCCTGGGGACAGCAGGGTGCAGAGTCAGAGGGCCTGGAGAAACCCTGCTCCCAGACCAACGCCGGGGGCTGACGCGGAACAGTGTCCCCTGCATTTCAGAGGGTGCCTCGGTGACACCCTGCGCCTATGCAGGCTGCTTGGCACGGAATGGCCGGCACGTGACGTCTTTAGCACATAGACCCCGTGTGGAAAATAAAGATGCTCATGGGAGCTGAGGAAGGAGTATGCGGGTCATACCTCACATCTTCCAGATGCTGTCTTCAAGACAAACCACCTCCCAAATACCCTGCTTCCTGTACATATGTTAATTACACAATTAATTTTAAGGTGGTATTTTGTCTTCAGATTGTTAGTGAGATAAATAGCTGAAATATTCCTGATGCTTAAAAAGTGAGAGAATAGACTGTAAACCACTGAACCAGGATGACAGCACTACATCTCAGTGTACCACCAGGAG